GACAAAGATATTGCAGGGACCTTATTAACTTGGAGATCCAGCAAATATTGTTATCATAATTCATTATTACTTCATTCTTTCCACATTTATTTCATGCAGCTAAACCAATGGGCCTTCTTGTTTTAAAGTTATTATGGAAAAACCATGGGTAAAATACTATATATACATATTTCGAATCAGTTAATGTACTTTTTTTACTTTTCTATTTTATTCCTGTTTAATTGACATAACTATATATATTTTCTTTTTTATGATTGTACTTGAAGTTAATATGATGAAGAAAGAAAATAAGCAGAAAAAATCTTGGATATGATGGGAATATTATGAGACCTGAAAAACAACAAGATTCCAATTTTTCTTCATTTCTAGATTTCCTATCCAAATCAATCTTTTAGACAGGCAACAGAATCCTTTTATTCTTTCTTTTACTGTATATATAGCCGAAACTCGGACTATATATATAAAAAATTAAAATTTCTAAGTCATTTACAAAATTATCAGAAGAAAAATGACTTTTTTTCGATCTTTTATATGTAAATATGAAAATTTCTAATTAAATAAAAACACAAACATGAAAAATATTATTAAAAGAATACGAAACCAATTTTCCTTGACTGATAAGTGCTACACATTAAACTTTATTATTCCAAGAATCAACAAAAGAAAAATGCTGTTGCTTTAAAGTTGCACGAGTGGAGACCAAGAAATATTTTCAAGATTGTCTTTGATTTGGTTACTACTATCACCGAATTTAGAATTCTTTAAATTTATGCATTCAAAATTTTAATATTTATGAAGTATATTACTCTATCTTTCAGCACTTGTCTTAAACAAATATTATACTTTGTGTGCAATTGATCGTAAGTAAAGTCATTAACTCAAATAAAAAATCTATACGTCTAATAATAACATTATGGTTTAGATAATGTATTTAAATTGGTTAATAACCCATCAACTTGTCAAATTGTGATGATGAACTAAATAGTGGATTAACTCTTTAATTCCTCGAGCATTTCCCAAGAGGATAATTAGTACTGTAATCTTCATGCTAAATAATATTCTTTCTAGCTATCGAATCTAGGTAAAGTAATTAAAAATTAACATCAAATCTTCGCTAACTGTTCAACAAATTTATCAAAATAATACGAGTACCTATTTTCATCAACATAAATAGGCCCATAGGCTATAAAATAAAATGCAAATTTATTTCAAGTACTGATATAAATTACTCTAGTAATATATTATGTTATCTCGCTTATACTATTTCAACTCGAAAACACAAATATAATATAACACTTTTGTTCTTCTTACAACAGGGGTTGATTTTACATATTATATAGATAGATATATCATATATTGATGACGATAACTAACTATATATGGAATTGGAGAATAACAATTAAAGTAGAGAAGTTATATATATTTCATAAAAATACAAAGAGCACAATGTGCATGTTGCATGTTTAGTTTGGACTTTTTGGATTGTAGTTTAGGTTCCATGCATGGCTACTTTAAAATTTAATTACCTAGCTATATATGAATTCTAATTTTATTTTGTGTGTCTCCAACTCATAAAAATTATGAAAATATATAATATAATGGTCCCTCAAAGGCCAAAGAACATAAGTTTCTGGGGCATATTATGACAAGAAGTGAAACAACTATGTGTATGTACAATATGACAAAATTAAGACCACGAATATTTATGATCATTATCGTGACTTCTTTATGAATTACTACTTCAAAGATACCGTGACTAAATTCAGTGTATACCTCGAAAATGGATTGAATCAAAAATCATATATATATATATATATATATATATACACGCTCAGTCGAATTCAGAATTTTATTAATTGATTATGTACGCGTTCTACCAAAAAAAAAACATTGCTCTTTACTACAAGCAACAATAAAAGGGGAAAAAATTAAAACTATATTTAAATAAGAACTTCAAGAATTAGAAAAGAATTTTTTTTTGAGGCAAATCCATCTAGTTTATAATGAAAATCTGTTAATAACAAAGTAAATAAATATGAGATAATTGCATGTCAACCGTTAATTATGAATGAATGCTAGTCGACCAAAGGTCCAAAAATAGGCAAAAATTATTCAACTTCATTTTTCCCCATAAAGCCCAAAATTTGGACTCCTTCCCAAATCTTGAATTTAAAGTCGAATTCTCACAAGACTCTTTTCTTCTCTTTTTCCCTATTGGGTACATGCCTACCCAATAGGAATTTGCGAATAAAAAAATAAGCAAGCTGTTCGGAATATATGAGAGAAAAATAAAGTTAGAAAGTATAGAGCATGTTCTTTATAATTTAATTTAAAATAATGAAAATTCTCCATTCGTGATTTAAAGAGGTGGAAAAAGAATAATTGTCGCACAAATGGAGAATAAATAGTATTGGGTGGAAATGTACAAGAATGTCAGTGTCGACACACATTTTTAAAAATTCATATTTCTATTTTATCATAAATTGTTTTTGTTTATTATGTAAATTAAATTATGTGCCAATAATTAACAATTAACAAGTTGTAGAAGATTCTAATTTGGCTTCTGCCCAATCCAATTAAATATAGTTGGATCGAGTCATGAAATCAAACATTGATACTTGTATCATGGTAAGTTATATGTATCACACCCTCAAAGATGTGGTCCATCGGCCTCAAATCCTATGCTTATCAATTTATGCAAAATGCTTAATTAATGCATCAAATTATTTTTTGAACAATTCTTTTCTAAGTAAAGAAAACTCTAACCAAGATCTCCTCTCCACATATTTAATGTTATTTATAAATATATATTATATTTATTATCCTTTATAATTTTTCAAAATATTATGTTAATAAATGCAAAATTTAAAAGAGTAAATGAATAGGTCATTGGTCAAGTAGGAACTAATCCTTGGATCTCTAACTTTAAAGAGATACCTTTAGATCAAAATATTTGCATTTAAAGAGCATATAATCTTTCTTGATAGGTTTGCAAAATCATTAATATTGGCATCTTGTTTATATATATATATATATAGTATTTCAGATTTACTGATTCGACCAATATATAAATTATTAAAGGAAAACTTATTAAAGTAAGGAAAAAGTAACTTCTAACAAGAGTTTCTTCTATTGAAATTATTTCGAAACCTCTAATAAAAAACTTATGAAGGGTCTTATTCATCTTAGCATAACCCCAAATGTTGTGATATATCATATATGTGTATCATATATACAATGACTTATACAGTCTACTTATGGAGGTTAGGGTGGGTCCTTTTACAATTAGAGAAAATAATACTCCCTCTGTCCCTAACTACTTGTCCACTTTTTCTTATATAGTTGTCCTTAATTACTTGTCCATTTTGACAAATCAAGAAAGGACAATTTTTTTTACCTATTATATCCTCAATTAAATGATTAATTACTTTGAAAAATGTAGAACTTTTCATCCACTTCATAATTAATAGGGGTAAAATGGTAAATTCACTATGTCATTAATTATTTTCTTAATAGGTATGTCAATTCAAAAGTAAACAAGTAATTAGGGATAGAGGGAGTATATATCAAGAACTTAAATGGAATTTCTTCTCCCCCTCCCTCCTTTTTTGAGAGTGGGGGTGGGGGTCTCTTATTTATTAACTAATGTATTAAATTGCTCATTTGAGGTAGCTTCTAGGAAAGATCAACCAAATGAAGATAAAATGAAAAGAAGCCATTAAATCTTGATGTTGATATGTAGAACATATATGGGATTCCTTATACTATCAAATTGGGACCCTTAATTCATTGAGAATGTCTAAAACCATATTTAGTCATTTTCTTTGTTAACTTTAAGAACAGTTGACTCATTGACCAATTTTATATTTCAAAAGTGGTCTGATTTGATGAACTGAAAGTGTTGAGTTACTTCTTGGTTGATTCCTTGTGATTGTGACCCTTATTCTCAAAATTTTATGTGCTATAGCTTGAGAACAAGTACTACTAATTGCTAATTTCTTGATGGATACCTTTGGTAGTCACTAAATGTGCATTTGGAAGCTTTAGTAAGTGCTTTATATCAATCAATCAACTATCAACTCAACCTAAGTCCTAACTAATTATTAAGATTAATTATATAGTGTAATTGATTTGTACTCACTCCTACTTATGTATTAATTAAGTATTCAACATATTCATCATAATTAAATCATTTTTACTCAAGCGTCTTTAAACAACTTAATATTGAGAGAGCGTTCTCTCCCTCTCTCTATCTCTTTTTCCATCAGAATATTTAGTTTCACGAAACTGATGAGCTTGTCAAATTAATGCATAATAATATGTTGGTGGTTTTTTCAAATTCTAACTTTACTATATCGATAAAGTCTTTTTTCTTCCTTGTTTCCCTCCATTAGTAAGACAATCAAATATCGCTCGACAATGTAAATAAGAATTTCAAATGAGAACTCAAATCACTCGACACTAATATGGATAAAAATAATTTCACCCTAACAACTATGTCATTGGAATTCTTGATATTGTTATTGCTCAATTTTGCATTCACAACTGGGCTTTATGCACCAAATCAAATTGGACTAACCAGTGACTATGGATCTATTTGACAAAGCATCGAATAGATTGTCACAATACCTATTTATCTGCTCCAACTTTGTATTGGTCCACCACTTGTCATTTACTCACTGTTTATGGGCTCGTTGTACATTTACAACTAAAAATGTATCCCAAAAATAGGGTTATATGAAGCATTTATCCTTTCCAAAACATTTATGTTAAAGACAACCTCTTTTCTTATGAGCTAAAGTAACTCTTCCTCGGCCAGGTTTGGACTATATAGCAAGCAAGTATTAGTAGCATAATAAAAAAAGTCATCCTCGTCAATCATGGTCTAGGGCTTTAAAGATAAAACGTAGTAATTCTTTTGATGTTTGACTTCAATTACTCAATCACTTGTATACAAACAACAAATTAAACAAAACTAGAATATATACATTTAACGGGCACAAGCTACCATTTTTTCTATGGGAGAGAGACAAATTAATGTGTAGATTTTTTGACAAATGAAGATCAGATTTACTCGTACGAAAATGAAATGAAGTTTTTTTTTTCTGACCGACTTAATGGTGTAACTTATGAACAATTTTATTAGTACTACTTTTCGTTGTCCCTTAGAATTTCATAAAGTCAAATCCATTTGATGAGAAATCTCAACACAATAATCCATGACTTTTTTCTTTAGTAAATGTCGAGAATTTCAAGAATGGATCTATTACAAAGGGGACAACAACCTCGGTTTAACCAAAGCTCTCTTGAACACACCCTACAATATGTGTGTCCACATGGTATGAATGCTGCTCCTTTTTTCCTTCCCATGCACACGCAGCACACCGTATCATTACCCACCCCTAATTCTTCCTTCTCATCCCAGCCGTTCGTTTCCTCTAACAATTTCATCAACGACACCCTATACGGCGTTCCTTCTCCAGTACCCGGCCCATCTTCGTTGGATCTCAACGGGCTTGTATTTGGGCCTGGCCCATCAGAATCTTGGGCCGATCTTAAATTACGCTCCGCCAGTAACGCCGCCGCTAAGTTCATCCCGGAACCCGTAGGAATATGATCAGCCAAGCATAAAATATTAACTGACTCTATTTCCGGAGGTGTTTCACGGCCTACTTCCGCCTCCTCCGGCGGTGGTTGCAGCGACTCCTCCTCTTCATCGTCCATTACACTTAACGAAGCTGGTCGGAGACATAAAGTGGTCCCACAACATGCAATGGATCCTAACCGTTCAGTTAAACTCTTTCGTCGTCTCACAACGCGATCATTACCGTCCATTCTCTCTCTAAGCAATTCCGCCATTGTTCTTGCTTCTATCCCTCTCTTTCTCCTTATTTCCTGCAATCCAAAACCCAACATTTCGATAATTTCACTCATTTTTTTTCCAGAAAATAAAAACACCCCAAAATTTGACGAAAATAAATACAAACTTGTGCAAAAGATGCATGAAGACACAAATATAATGCATGTATATATAAGCAGTTAAGCAGAGGTGTATTTTCGCCTTAAGGTGGTAGAATAGAATAAATGATCGGAAATGAAATGAAGTTAATCACGTGATGATGAGTAATATGAAAGGCACCAACGTACCACATGAACATGACCTTTGTGATGGGCTCCTAGCTAATTAAAGATGAAAGCAGTAACCTTGTGGGTATTAATAAAGTCATGTGGATGATCAAATGGAACTTAGGGATATGAAATATATTGTATAAATTAATGGAGTATATATACGGTTTTATTCGTCATCAAATGAATCTTTGAAGAAAGAAACAAATGAAAGGACAATTAAGAAGGAGAAGAAGACCGACGAAGAATAGAAGGAATAATTTGGGAGTGGTGGGGCTTAATGTAGATCCACTTCATTTAAATAATTTTTTGGTGGTTTATCTTATCCTACATTAAACTATTTGCCTGTTTTTGTATTAATATTTTTGGAATGGTCGCCGGCCATAACTAAGTCAACAGCTATATATTCAATAAATAGGGTTTAATTTTCCAAGTGGCATTGCGTTACGTTTTACGAATTTCTTGGGAGTTTAATATTTTTTAGGCCGTAATAGTTTGTGGTCGTCACATATTTGGCCAAACTTCTAAGAGAGTAATTGTTTGTGTTTGGTTATATTAATGATCTCCAACATCATTTTAGAATTATTGTACGAGCAAATTGTGCTTGGAGGGATATCTTGTAAGTGCATATTCAATGAAAACTCCATTTATTGGTAATCACTAGTTTTTTGGGTTATTTAACCACACGAAAGACAGATAAGCATAAGTTGCACTAATTATAATGAAATGGATACAGGAAAATCCTAGCGTAGTAAATTTTAATTTTTCCATAAATTTTGCTACTTAATGCCATATTTCTCTGCCTTGTTTTTTAACGAGTACTAATACTTTGCTTGATCTGTAACATATTGTTGGTCAATCTGATAAACCTAATACCGATTAGGTAATATCTTTAGAGGATTAAAATAATCTGTGAGAATAATTGAAATTCTTAGTCGTCCATACGGACACAACAAACCTAACAAGAATTGGAACTACATGAATAATTAATTAATTAATAAATAAACTCTAGTTTTTCCTCACTTATGTAATATATAATTACTACTGTCACACTTCATTATAGTGGTCATTCGTTGTAATAATATTTCATTATAATTGTTTGAGTTTTTTTTTAAATCGATTTTTATGTTCAGCTTTATACAAATTTAAGTGTCTACTTGTGCACGTCCAATATTGAAGGACATAAATGTAAAATGAGGCTAAGTTAAAAGAATATTTTTATGTATTATGACTTAAAATAATGGTATATCTTGATCCTTTTTCCTTGAATAAAATAATAATTCAACTCCACTAGATAAATATTATACTTCTTGTAACTTTGTTGTTGAGGATATTGAAGAAAAGTATTAAGAAGCCTGGACCGAAAGAATGAAGGAAAAACAAGGATAACAGTCGGCCCATTAATGGCCCTTTTAAGTGTCTCATTGTGACTCACAACAACCATCAGCTCTCAGCCCATTCCAATTATCTATAGACTGTACAGTGTACACAATAGTGGAGTCTTAAAAGAAAAATTGGAATAGCATGACATGTTATAGTTAAAATTGTCAATAAATAGCCCACTTACAATATTTTAGCAAAAAAAAGATTTTTGAAAATATATTTGGCATTTATTAGCCATATTTTCTTTTACTCGAAAGTGGGGGGTTTGTTTTTTTCTAAAAAGTTATTTTTTCCCCTAATTTTCTCCAAATTTTTCTCAAGACATGTTTTTTCTTTCACCGATTCTTTATTTATTGAAAAGTAAAATTTTTATTCTTTCTTATTCTCTCTTCTTATTTTAAACAATTCTTTGTTAATAATGATTCTTTCAACATTTTTTTTTACCTTTTTTTTATTTTTTATCTTTTTACAATTTCTTTATACATGCATATATTCTGTTTTTTGCTTAAATTTTCTCTTCCGTATTTACGTTCACCCAATGTATGATAATATACTATATCGTTTCTTTCATTGTTCTTGACTATATATATATATATATATTATTGAATCTGTCATATTCAAAACTATATGGATTTTTTTATTGTGGAATTGAAAATTTCAAATTTAATTGGGCAAAAATTGAGATTATGATGTGTTGGTTTTTTATATTTATTTTCATGGATAAAAGGGATCTCATGAGTTCTTTTGGAAAAATAAATCTTAATTCTATTTTTTTTTTGGTATAAGTACAAAACAGTGTGTAACTTGAATGTAGAATCTGTTTATAAAATTTTATTTACTGCAATTCTATAAATTTTTACAAGAGAAAGTATTTGAAGATGCTTCATTAGTAATGCCATTTGGTTTGAATTAATAAAATATAACACATATAATAATTGTATACATGATTGTGTATACATTAGTATAAAGTCATTCAATTCAATTTAATGTATACAACTACTAATTGAATCAATACACGAATTAGTCATATTGAATGTTTACATAAATGTGTATACATTGCAGCAGAAATTAACCATACGTTTAATTGTATACAAAAACTAATTGAATGAATACACAATATTTTTATGTATACACAATCAACAATGTATACATAAACTTATAATGTATTCATAAATATTCTTTGAGTGAAACATTATGAATGCATATTGAACTGATTGAATACATTATTTAATAAACTCGTTACGTAAGTATATACATCATTTATTTTAGAGGATGCATTATGTGTACATAATTGTTTTTTTTAATTGATAATACCTTGACGTATTTAAACTTTTCACTTTAAATTGAAATATCATTCGAATAGAATAATTATTTTTATCATAGATATTAGAGAGAAAAAATTATTGTAAACTTGACATTCTGTTAGAGTACAGTTTTAGTAACACACTCAATAATATTGCATTCATTAAAATACAGCCTCTCAGACAATCATATGATTGTAACCAATAAATTATAAAGTGTTTGTGTTGTTGACACCAATAGCAATGAAAAGTCGTCGATTTTATAATTAAGTTCAAAGGAATTAATAGAAGTATCAACAAATAGAGGATTTGAAATCAATATTCGTATTGATAAATGATAATCACCGCTTCTATAGAACAATCTACAAAATTATTATTACTATCTCATTCTCCATTATAATGAATCAAAACAATCAAAGGTGCCATTTATATCTTGATGCTTTTATTTGCTCTACGTTATTGGTTTTTTTTTTTTTAAGATATACTAATAATGGAGTTGGGTTTGGAAATTTAAGGAAACTGAAATGCTAACTTCCTTAGTTATAGGAATGAAAATCACAGAAGAAAAACAAACCCACGTCTTCTATTTATTGCCAATTGGTTGCCCGATGGTAAAAAAATTAATCTATAAATACTGTTAATTTACTTTTGGGCTAATACATGCTATTATTTTTTTGGACTATTAATTGCTAAATAAAGTTGGGCTATAAATTGCTAATTCTATGTAGCAATTGTGCTTTTGTGTCAATTAATGTCTTTAATTTACCTCATACAGTGTAGCGGATAAGGTTGTTTTTTCCTTAAATAGATATTTCGAATTCTAACTTTACATGCTTGCTTACTGCAATAATCTGACTAGTTTCTGTAAAATTTCAACTAAAAACAGCAGGTTCCATATCCTACAGAATACAAAATAGATCAGCAACATATATTTAAGAATTTAAAGACAGCTACTTTACATACTAAATTTGACATAAAAGAGTTAAAACTTGGGTATACCTTCAAATTATTCTCTAGACTATCAGCCTTCCTTTTCATCCATAATTTTCAAGAAGCTATAGAGTTTTACAATTGTGTGCCACGTATAATGATGAAATATATGCTTCTTATATAGTAGAATGCGGTAATTTTTGGGATGAATTTTTATCTCGCAATGTTCTATTTGTAAAAAGTTGCCTAATGCCTATTACTTGTTTGACAAAATGCATGAATGAGCGGTTTAATTTAGCCTATTTCATGTTTGCTTTCATTGGTGGTGTCCAATTCACATATATACCCTGGTAAATTCAAAGACCCAGTCAGAGACATATCTAGAATTTAAGTTTTTATGAGTTCTAACCTTTGAAATTTAGTAGCTTTGAACCATTACATATTAAAATCATGGGGTTAAGACCTACTATTGTTGCAATTGTAACATATAAAGTTATCTTTACGCAATAATGAATTATAATTTTCAGAACCTATGATGTTTGAATAATTACTATTGTTGCAATAATGTATTGTATAATTTTTATATTTTGTGATATTTGAACGGGCACCAAGGACCATTTATTAAAATAGTCATCGTAAATGTATATGGCTCAAAACGTCTCTACAAACACCTTCATAATTTTGCAAGTTTAGCTTCAAAGAAGCAATGGAACTAAGAAAGGGTCCATGGAAAGAACACTTATTGTTGGAATTCAGCAAAAAAATTCTTTGCTTACAGTGGGGAAATATAATGAACCACGTTTTCTTCAAATAATAAGAAGCCTAAAGTATATGATGTAATCGTGGGAGCCAACAAGTTAAGGTAATCTCTGAGATAACATATATAGTTTGATGTTTATTGATTTATCACACCTTATATCTTTTATGTATATGTTTGATTTGAATAATGTGTTTATTGTTTAAAATTTCAGGCAGAAAACTCAACTATTTTCCTATTATAGTGGGCTTGAATCAAGTACAACGAACTTCCTCATGTTCTCCTTGCCTCTAAGAAATTTCATCATTGATTTGCAGATGTTTGATTCTTCAAAATAGTGTGGAGCAAAGTTTACTACAACTGAGTTTACTGCCTGTTATAAAATTGTGTCTTGTGCTAAGTTGAGTGTACATGTTACAAAATTGTCTTGTGACTTTTTTTCTGTTACAATCACTATGTAGATATGGAGTTGTGCATCAGTTATGTCTTAACAAATCTATATGTACTCTCTCAAAAAAAATTATTATATCCTTCTTTTCCTAAAAAATACTCCACTTGTCATTCTCTCAAGCTTTATTATTGAATGCAAGTTGGGATTTTAAGGTATTGTGATTAGTGATACTATTTTTTATGGTAGTACAACATGCAGGAGAGAAAGAAATTGGTTTTTCCATCCGCCAATTGTGTTTTAAAGTTACTTAGAATAAAATGATAATTCATATTTGAAAGTCTTTTTTAGAAACACACAATATTTATTAAAATTATTATCTTTTGTCATTCGTAAATACAAAGTTATAGTA